GTGTGTGTGTGTATTAACTGCGCAATCAGGGAAACTAAGAATCTAGAATTTTGAGAAATCAATCCCTGGCATAATTGCGACTCGGAACTGCGCAGCATCAACTTTCTAATTTGACTTATTTTCGATCAGTGATCTTCGGAAAACAAATTCACGTACACGTTCTAAACTTGAAAATGCCTCATATCATCGCACTACTGCCTACAGATCAGACTTTTGAGTTGAGCGGGTGGAAGAATAATTCTCATGCTGATTATGGCATGAAATCATAAGTCAGAATGTCATAAAGTTAAGTATGCTTTATGATTTGATAGGATGGATTACAGAGTCCTCAATTTCCTTTCCACATTTGATTCTCAGAACCCAGAAAAGTTAAAATTCTCAATGAGTGTTTGCGGCACTTCCGGGCTAAATGTATGTTGAAGCGTGCTTAGCAACATATTAATAGTCGCTGAGCAGAACAGCGTAAAGAACGTTCTCTTCGCCTGCTGAGCGGCTTTCAAAGTCGTTTTCCGTTTATCATGTAAATTTTGATTTACTGAAGGATCACTATTATCTAATTGAGGTGTATCACTATTGAAATGAAGCATATCGGTGGCGAATTAAAAGTCAAATGGAATCATCATGGCAGAAAATTCAAGTTCGTATTTACGGAGCATGAAATGGCGCAGGACGATGTATTTGAAGTAAGTTTCTTTAGACTGATTAAAAATTTGCCGGCACTTTTACAAGAGTATTTTTCGCCAACGCAACCGTTGTCATCGAGTTTTTCTCAGCCTGAAATTTAACTACCCTCCTTCCTACAAAAAGCCAGTCACCATAAATACTCCTACATATACTATTAAGTTATTAAAACTGGTGTTTCTGGCCCAGTGATTTGTTTTTCAATGTAATTTAGAAGTATCAAACTAATTTTGATGCCTTTTTATGCGCTTTTGCCTATTTATGCAAGTGCAAAAATACATATTGTCAAGAGGTTGTATGTGTGCTGTGTGTTTGGGAGGGAATGAAATTTATCACCGCTTCCAATCCAGCAACCGCCAAAACTGGGAAGCTGAAATTTAAGGAGGAGGGAGCGGGAGGATAGGGCGGCGGAAGGGGGAAGAAACGATTTCGGAAACTAAATAGCGCAGAAAGCTGAATTTTTGCAAGGATGTTCTCTGTCTGTGGACAAGCACACTGGTAACATCAGCAATGATCTTCGCACCTGAGCAGTTTTTTTTTTTTTGAAAAATTCCCTAGTTTACAGATTCTTCTTCAAAAAATTCGCCAGCAGTGTCCGGATTTCGATGGCGTTCTCGCAAGTTACGATGCCAGCGGTGATGAGGTAATTTTTTTGTGTCTATTATAATCTGAGCTGGTACGGTTGTTTTGATATTTGCAGCTAGAGAAACAAATTCCCCATGTATCCTTTAACTCAGCCGGTGTGATTGCTGAGGATATCTTAGGATGCATAATCAGAAAGTCGTTTGAACAAAAAAAAAAAAAAACCGCCGATGCAGCTTTACCAGCGCTGGTGAATAAGTGTTAATGATGGAGACCTTTTTCCTCAAACTATCGTTTATTCGGAAGAATGAACTGCGCGTAAGGAAACTGAGTGCACTTAAAAACTGAACTGTCAAAATTATGTGATGCTTGTTTCTACTAAAAATTTTGTTATTCTACAGAACTAATGTTTCTCGAAATGACGCTAAAAGCAGCATAAATTTTGAAATCCCTATAGTAAAAATTTTTTTCGAGAAAAACCTTGTCATCTTTTCCAGAACATTGTGGCCACAGATAGTGAATTTCGCGAACTGATAGCAACGAACAAAGGACGGCTGAAGATTCACACAATACGAAGATATTTTTCCGTGCATCCGTCCAGGTCTCACTCCGTCCCACTTGTAAGTGTGCTTATTGATCACAGAGAAATACATATGCATGTATAACATAAAATACCTAACAGTTTTTCTGTCAGAAAAATTTCCTGTAATTGATTCAAAATAATGCAGTGTCTAATGAAGGAGACTAAATCAGTTAAGTCAAGCGCTCTTGCAGATGGCCGGTACGCATAAAAAGTGAGTGATTATGAAAGTTTTTCACTGCAAAACGGTCCTAAGTTAAAATTCACTGAACGCAAACACCTGTTGGCCATTTTGTTTTTGCAGAAGTTGGCAAAAAGAACCTTTTT